TTTTTATGGAAATTATAAAGGCAATAGTTTTCCTTTTTTACCCATCCTCACCAAACACCACAAGTTTGTGAAAGAACACTACAATATTCTTAAAGCTCCACATCGTTTCGAATGCGTACAACAACCTTACCACACCACAAGTTTATCTATAGCAGACCTTAAGTTTCGTAAAGTACACCACAAGCATCTTGAAGCATACCAAACACCTTAAAGCATACCAAAAATCTACCCATTAGGAGTTCCTATAGGTAATTATTAGTAGGACGGCATTACCGGTGCAACGTCAAAGTGTAGGAGGTAAGTAATATTTAATGCCAAAATTGATTTCGTGGTAAGTGTTTACTTTTTGGACGGAATTATTAATTGGTAGGGGTCTTTTTAATGGTTGTTAGTATCCGTTCATGATTACCTCAACCACTTTCAGTTTCCATATTTTTTGTATTCTTCAGTTTCCATACTTATCTCTAGCCGGTCTCTTTGTTTTAGATTTTTAACCTAAGCGTGTATCTTTATATTTCATTCCATCTTTTCACGTTCCTTCTTTTTGCATCACTTCCCCTTTGTTTCGTTTCGCCCCTATTTTTATTTGGTTCCTTTCTCTAGATGAAAATGGCTCACCACATCCCCTTTCTCCATGCTATTCGAAACCTTTGTCAACAAGCTTGTTAATGACCCCCATGAAAGGAATCACGATCGGTTCCAGAGATTGTTTGCTGCTCGTGCTCTGGCCACCAAATTCATTGTGGACCCTATAGAATTTTGAGATCTCGACATCCATGTTGGTCACTACATCAATAAACTTGGATGAGGGTTTCTTCTTCACCCCCTCCCTCTGCCAGCATGTCCTCTGGCTGCTAGGTATTTCTAAGCAAACAAGCAGTGCAAGGGTGTTGATTACGAGAGTTCTCGACTATCGTTGCTGGTTATGAGATTAGTCTAATAACTGAAGGCCTAGGTTAGATTCTTAACATTCCCAATCGTGGCATCCCAATTGATCATGAGAAAGAAATGAGTGGGTACAAATTCAATCCCATTGAGAAATATGAGGAGCTTCTTCAAAGAGATGCACTTCCCAATGAAATTTTCACTACTTCATCTCCGAATCGTTTGCAAAGGATCCTTCACTTTTTCATCACCCATGTGTTTCTTCCCCGCAGCCACTCACTGGATGTCGTCACTGAGCTTGATCTCTGGGTGCTCTCCAATGGCTTGGATGGTCGAAAGCTGGACTATTCCCACTTGTTTTTTTGGATGCATGGTCAGAGCAAGTAGTGAGGAATACATGGGTGTTTGCCATTCGGTGGTTACATTGCCCTTCTGCTGGCCAACCTTGATATTCCTCTCAATGCTTTTGTTTCCGAAGAACCATCCGTCACTGTACCTGCCCCCCTCATCATGACGCACTATGTTATCCCGCATAGGCCTTCAACATTGGCAGAAGAGGTTGTTGTCGCCGCGGCTCAGGATGTTGGTGCTCGAGTAGTAAGATATCGCAAAAGGCGCCATTGTTCCTCTTCCTCATCACCATTGAGTATGATAGTTTTCTAGATGTTACAAGTGAGGATTCTGGAGGGGATGGGTCTGGCGTGCAACATTAGTGAAAGGGAAGGGACGAAGGGTCGGTATTTCAGCTGTCGATTTTTGGTGATTTTTGTTATATGATTTACTTTATTTCTACTTTGAATGATGTAGGACTTTCATTGTACTAGAACTTTTGCTATGTTGAATTATATTTTGGATTTAATGAAATTGGGATTGGTAGAATAATATAGTAAATCAGACCAGATGAAAGTGGTACCTACCACTGAGCATAGAAAGCGCACCATAAGTTACTTTATGCATACCACAAGTTACGTAAAAGCATCTCAGAGGTCTATGATGTAGTTTTTGAAAGTAGTTTGGTGTGGAAGGTTTCGTGTTTGTTGTTGAATTTTTAGATGTTGAAGTTAAAGAGTATACAGGTCAATGATGTAGTTGTTAAAAGCACAATACAAGTGTCGTCGGATCAGATATTAAAGTCAAGAACCACAAATCCTAGAAAGAGTACCATAATTTAATATATAGAAACCACACGTTGCGTAAAAGCACCTCAGAGGCACCATAAAGTCGATCGGTATGTACTTTCCGACCACACAAATCCATCGTAGCAATGTATATGCTTAATGAAGTTAGTCGGGTGCAATACATGATAAGTATGTTTAAATATCGACCTGGGCCGGTCCGTCTACCCCTACTTCAGTATGGTTTTGAAAACTCTTATGTGAGAAGGATCACTCGGGTGTCGCTTCCCCCTAACTACTACCATGGTATGTGAACCGAAATGATTGCTATGGGCAAGGTGATCGCAAACCGCTAGGGGATGCAAATATGGTTGTATACCACACTCATGATTGCTAAACCGAGGAATACAAATTAGGCTGTCACTCGGTCCTCTCGGTTTAGGCAATCAATGGTTGACTTACTCCTCACTCAACCCGATGGTTGGACGGCTTAATCGCACTTAACCAATTGCTTAATCCAATATTGAGGTTTTGCCCTAAATTAACCTAGTTAGCAGACTTAAAAAAGCCCTAGGAATACCAACTCAATTGAGTCTCCCTTGGAAGGGGGTTTTCCTCTCTAATCTAGGTCAAGTGGCTAATTATATTGCTAAGTACCAACATGCACAACCCTTAGATTGCTAAGCACAAACATGCACAATCCTTAGATTGCTAAGCACACATATGCACAATCCTTAGGTTGCTAAGCACAAACATGCACAATCAACATGAATAATACCTCAATCATTGAATTAAATAACACCCATAAACAATCATTCAATTCACATAATAGAAAACTACATAGTAGCTAGCTAGGGTTTCACAACACACAAGTGAAAAAGAAATATACTCCATGCTAGAAATGGGAGAAAGACAAGGGGAAGATGTAGAAACAATCATGAAGGAGGCTTCTAATCTTCTTGGCACTTGTGCTGAACTTCTCTTAGAAAGAATCTTCCAAAATCCACTCTTGGAGCAAAACCCTAGCCTCCTTCTCCTTTGGTTCGTCTTTCTGTCTGTAAAATCTGAAGAAGGCTTTCTCACTCAAGTGGGCTCTCCCCTCTCTCTTCCTTTCAGCTCATCTTTTAAACAGGGAACGAGCTCAGTTCACGACCTCAGTTCATGGCCGTGAATTCTGAAATGCGTCCGTGAACTCAAGGCTGGTGCTAAAACGCATCGCTTCGCTTGCACGTGTTCACGGTCCACAACTCCTGTTCACGGTCTTAGTGACCGTGAACTCAATTAGCGCCAGTAACTTGAGTTTTGGCCCTGGACGCCTCAATGTTCATGGGCAACAGCTCTTCTTCACGGTCATACAAGACCGTGAACTCGCCGTTTTTCACCTCTTCTCCTGGTTTTCGCTCCTTTTCGTCCAACTTTCGACTTCGGGGCGCTGGTTTCACCTGTTAAATCCTGAAACACGCTAAAACATGAGAAAGCTAGTGTAAAACCACCATTTTAGGTGCGAAAATGCCACAAACGCCTAAGGAAAATGGGGGCAAAATATGTACAATTAGGCCTGAATCAATTTTATAATTGGACCATATAAATAAAAGCACAAGAAATGTTTACTATTCATTAAGGAAAAAATAGGCGATTTTATCTTTTCGGGGTAATGACCAATTCTACGGTACAGTGCAACCAGTTCTAGGATAAGTCCTTTAATTTTCACTTAAATAATAGGAACCATATTAAATTATTTCTTTAATATTAGCTAAAATTTTATAATTATTAATTAAAATATTTAACATGCAATCAATTCACAATATTTATCAATTCACATTTTATAAAAATTGCATAAACAACATTCTATAACAGTTACATAAATTATAAATTCATTCGTACAATGGTAGACATTACATAAACTAAAATTTATAGCGGGAGAGCTGTTATGTAAGCAAGATATTAATGAGCATTCTTTAATGATTAAAATTTATGAACATATAATCATTTTATATGTATCAATTAAACAAAAATATCATATAAGTCTTCCATAATGATTATACACTACATAATCCTTTTATAGGGATAATTATTAATTATGTATCACTGCAAACTTTTCGTGACAATATCAGTGGCAGCAATTTTGCCACAACTTTTCAACCACTATGAAAGATTTAACAACGAGTAATTCTACTGCTAAATGATATTTTTTGTAATGTTGGGTAGAGTCACCATGCCTTCCCACACAACATTGTTGCAAATCGCCACACCCGAGTATTCTTTGGATCTTAGCATATTCTCAATTACAAGACTCCAATATTCAAAATCTACATCAAGTTTTGATATGCACATCTGTGCAAACCCATTGTTCTCACTCATCAATTCTCTTTACTCAAACACAAAGAAGCTCTCTTTCAAAAGTTTGGAGCTTCTCACCCCCTCTTTATAGGATCCTTTCCAACCACTAATGTTTTCCGTAATTACTGCAATGACAATGCATATTTCTCATTTAAAAAGTACGACAAATTGACCATTTTTGTATTGAAATGAACAAGTAAACATAAATGCTGAATGTTGCCACATTTATCAGCCTCCATCCCATGAACAACCAACTAACTACTTTAATTACCCGTCAAACGAAACGAAAGCTACTCACAAGGGGTTAAAGTTTGCACAGATTTGAAGACAAGAATAACATGTGCTTAATAAATGGGGGTCACCGAAAATCGAACACAAGACCTCTCGGTCACAGAAGACTCTGATACCATGAGTTGGTCCCAATAACTCAAGTTGTTGGGAGAAGTTCAATCGTAGATCATATACCACAACACTAACACCACCATCAACAATCTTTATGAAATCAACACAAGGCGCACAAGCGATCACGACATTATTGAATTTCTGATTATGAGATAGTACAAAACCAAGGAAATGGTGACATTACAAGAAGACGAAAACAAAGGAAGCATCTGAAACAAGGACATCAAGCATATGCATGGCTCGATAAATAAGTATGTTCTACGAAACCCGGCGACAGATGGTGAGGCCGTCACCCACGGGAGCGACACAGATCTCAACACGTTCATCATCAGCAATCCTCCGGTTGAACTCAATCGCCATCATCGTTATCATTTTCTTGTCGGCGGGGAGATTAATGTCGCCGTCGGGGTTCGCCACCGTGCCTCCCCAGAGCACGTTGTCATAAATGATCACACCGCCGACCTTCACCAGCTTCATCAGGCGGTCGTGGTAGTTGCCGTAGTTGTGCTTGTCCGCATCCACAAACGCAAAATCGAAGCTCCCTTCCTTCTCCTCCTGCGCCAAATTAGTTTGTTACAAATTAGGAACCGTAACGGTTAATTAATCATGGGAAGTGATGATAATAAAAATGAATCGGTTAGGTTAAATACTTACTTGGAGGAGGAGATAGTCAAGAACGGGCAGTGCAGGTGAGTGGATGAAGTCGATTTTGTGTTCGACTCCTGCCCTTTTAATGAAAGGCAGCCCAATCTCGTACCATTCAGCTTTTGGATCTATGGCCGTGATCTGCAAATATTGGCGTACTACATATTTCGTTATGCCATGTTTGCCAAATGAGAAGCAAGAACCAAATGAGAAACAAAGGATCAAGGAACAAGAGAATTGCCTTGGCATCAGGAGGAGTAGAAAGGGCTGTGGCAAGGAGGGAGTAGCCAGTGTAGACTCCGATCTCAATGGTTCTCTTTGGATTTATCATCTTCAGAAGCACACCCAACAATTGCCCAGAGTGTGGATCCAAAGCAATTGGAGACCTAGCATTTCGTTATTATTAGGGTAGAACCGTAACATAGGTATGGTACCGGAAAAGTCAGCGATCGATAAGATATTTCGTGTTGAAATCGTGATCAACTATTTTAAACCGTCAAAATATGTCTACCTGTTATTTAAGGCTCTGGTATGAAATTTTTCCGAACGATACGATAGAGTTTTACAAACAATTGTATTATGATTAAGAGTCGATCTATTGGCGTTACCGGGTATCTGTGGCGATAGTAGTATCCCTGAGCTCCTTGAGTATCTGTGGCTCTCTCGGGTGCACGGCTCAAGATAGGGTGCATAACCATGGGTTATGCACCCATCAATAACCAAATCTGGACCCTTCATTTAGAAAATCCAGATCTAAGGATGGAGAATTAAAGACTATTTTTATTTTCACTAGCTTTCTTAATTGACTCATATCTTTTTCGTTTTAACTCGGATTTTAATTTTTTTTGCACAGATGGAACGAGTTCACCGTGCTCTACAAAATGAGATCAATTTTCAATATTTTTTTAGGAAAAAAAATTCTGGCCTCTCGGTACCAACTGCATACCATATGATATCTTCTTCGTTTTTAATTCGTTTTTGAAAACGTTTGCACAGCAGGGATGAGTTCATCATGATCTACTGGATCTACAAATTTCTTGGTGAACAAATTACAGGACCAAAAAATACCACACAATACCATACAATACCACCCTGGTACGGGTGGTATTGTATGGTATCTTCTTCGTTTTTAATTCGTTTTTGAAAACGTTTGCACAGAAGGGACGAGTTCATCATGATCTATTGGATCTACAAATTTCTGGGTGAACAAATTACAGGACCAAAAAATAGCACACAATACCATACAATACCACCCTAGTACGGGGTGGTATTGTGTGGTATACAATGTTAAAAGTCGTAAATTACAATTAATATACTTCTACTATCATGTATTCAACCATCCTACAGTATTGGTTTGTTCATACCACCATGGTACGTTTTTCAAAACATAGGTATGCTTTTATTTCAATACCAGTCAATACCATATGGTATAGGCTGGTAAAAAATGGCTCAATTTTTTTTGTTCGAAAAATATATTAAAGTGGATATCATTTTGAAGAGCACAATTAATCTGATCTAACTGTGCAAAAAAAATTAAATTTCGACTTAAAATGAGCGAGAAATCGTCCGTAAAAGATTAAAGAGGGAAAAATTAAAGGCTTTCAATGAGAGAGAGGATGCTGATGTCATGCTGATGTGGACGGGTTACTCATGGTTACTCACCATAAGGTTACTCACCATAAGGTTACTCACCTGATCCATTCCCCGGGTGCACGCTCGTCTCCAATATGTACTGCCAATTGCTAAAATCAGTAGATATTGAGAACACTTAAACTTTTAAGTTCAGCCGATTTCCAGCTTGACAAAGAAGTGATTAAAAGCAGAGTAGCACTCGATAAAAAAAAAAAAAACAGAGTAGCAATAACTATAGCTAGGGTTTTTACGTACAAACCTGGAGTAGGTGGTCACTCTGCAACAGGTGTCGGTTGGGCACAATTACCTCTGGAATTTCCATTTTTGTTTTGTTTCCGTTAGACTACAGTTTCTTTCTTCTCTTTTTGCCTCTGAAGTGGAAAATGGAACAATTCTTTATATAGAGGAGAAGGAGCAGGTGGATGCAATACAAGGAAGGAAGGGAGGGAGCGTGGCCGGGTTTGAAAATTAGTAGCACCGGTTTAATTATGGAAAGGACAGAAAATGGCGACCCTAGTTATCAGTTGAGCCTCTTAGTCATTGGTGTTGGGTAGGGAAAATAAATTAAGTTCAAGAGTAGGTACAACAACATAGAAAATGCGGAAGGTAGGGGTAGTTGGTAATTAATATATATTAATATTAATTAATAATAATAATATATTAAAGGCTAACATGTGAGTTATTATTCATTAGTGGCTCTCACTCTCCTCCAAGTGCAAGTGGGAAAGTTACAAGTCTTTCTTTTACTCCACTCTTCATTCTACAACCTTTGTGTTTAGTTATTGTTCGCTAGGTTTTCGTCTATGACTTTTTGCACAAATCATCGCCTTTGTGTTTTGTTATTGTTCGTTAGGTTTTCACCTATGGTTTTTTGCAAAAATCACCGCCTTTGTGTTTTGTTATTGTTCGTTAGGTTTTCGTCTATGACTTTTTGCACAAATCATCGCTTTTGCCCACCATTTTGCAACCCATCTCGCAATACTGTTAGCGGAATCCTAAGTTGTTCCCCACCACTGTTTTCCAAAGCTCAAAGCAGTCAAAATCGGGATTTTGAACGTAAAACTATAGGATTTTACTTAGCCATTCGTATCCTGATTTTACTGTCAAATCGGTGGATCTTAAAATCGGTTAAAATTGGGATTAAAATAGGTAAAATCGGGATTTTGAAGGGATTTTACCGATCTTGAGTTCCCGAGTTAAATTACACTTATGGGTCAATTGAATGGGTAGGGTTGATTGCCTCTCGATTTTAACTGCTTTTCAAAAGCCGATACCACGAGTTTTGTATCGGGACCGAGTTGACATCTGTAGTATTTTTTTCTTTTTCCCCCCCTTTTTGTTGAGCATGATCACAATTGAACCCAATCACATGGGTATCCTAACTAGAACACAAATCGTCGTCTTTGCCTACCATTTTGTAGTCCATCTCGAAATACTGTTGGCGGAATCCTAAATTGTTCCCCACCATCATTTTCCAAGGCCGCTACCACGAGTTTTGTATCGGGACCGAGTTTATTCCTCTTTACTGTTTTGTTATTGTTCGCTAGGTTTTCGTCTATGTCTCTTTGCACAAATCATCACCTTTGCCCACTATTTTGCAACCCATTTTGAAATACTATCGACGGGATCCAAAGTTGTTCCCCACCATCGTTTTTCAAGGCCGCTACCACGATATTTGTAAAAGGACTAAATTTCATCCTCTTTATTGTTTTTTCTTTCTTTTTTCCTTTTTGTTGAGCATGATCACAATTGAACCCAAATCAATGGGTATCCAACCTAATTCGTTCTAGTCAAAGTAACTTGAAACCAACTTTAGCATTTATAAATTTCTCTTTTTTCTCTTTTTGTTGGGAAGACAATTGAACCCGAATCTAAGGTTTTGAAGAGTGTTGTATTGTGAGCAAGGTTTAGCCGCTTTTGTAGTTGGCAGGTTGGACTAAGTATTAATTTGTTTAAAAAATTGTTCAAAGCGAGTTGAAGACGTTGTTGACCAGTTTTAGATCAAAAGCGAGTTTTGTATGCTTAATATTTTTTATTTCTCATTTTTCTTTTTGTTGAGAATGAAAATTGAACCCTGACACATTGTTGACATGTTTCGTATCGAGAGCGAGTTCTATCCTCTTTTGTAATTGATAGGTTGGATAAATTGTGAATTTGTTAAAACTGGGTCGACCCGGTCAAAGCGAGTTGAACGCAGTGTTGATAGTTTGGGGTCAAGAGCGGGTTTTATCCACTTTAGTATTTTTTTTAATATTTTTTCTTTTGGTTGAGAATGAAAATTGAGTCCAGACATGTAACACCCCACCCTAAAATCATGGATCGAACCAATGGTTCAACCGTGTAGCGAAAATCACTCAGGCTTTATATTTTGAAAATCTCGGCTCAACTCATATAACATAATTATGATATGTTTAAAACTCAACTCTTCATAACAATTTACTAAAAATCACTTTCTCAATTCATTACTCAATCTTCATCAAAGCCAGGATTCACAGAACCCAGACTATCAATCTCATATACTCCATTCATACACAAAACTCGAATCCTAAAATAAGGATTTCAAAATACATCAATAGGTGAAAAACCCTTTTAAATCAAAATCCTCCATCGATCTTTGTGCGGTGCCAGAGTCATCCTCAATTTATCACACCTGTCATATCTAGAAAGAAAAAAATGGGTCAACTACTAAGCTGAGTGTATGGACCTAGCTTATACGATAAAACTATTATTAGCATGCCATCACATCTTGTTGATTAAAAACACATCATCGACAAATTATCATGACACACGAAAAGTTCATTAATCCCTAGATTTATTTCTAGGTCATCCATCCAAATTCGTCTTTAACCCAATTCCTCATGACATAAGTTTGATTAATCAAGTCACATATCAACATAATATCGTATACTTACCTCAACTCATGAATCCATCGTATTAATCCTTCATTCGAAGTCAACTCATCAATTGAACATCAAACATATCAATCATTCATCCATAATCAAATCACCAGTTTGGTATTAACCATATCAATCTTTCAATCAATCATCAATCGAATATGACTTCACGATTTTCATCATGGAAATCATCTCCATCACATATATATATAAAATATGCAATGCATGAAATACAGACTCTCCATTTGTTATTCATTTGCGCGCTAAGGTCACCATATGCCCACCCCGCTCGAGCTTATCATCTTAGTGGTTATATAAAAAACCACAATCTCATCAAATGTAGGATTATCATAAATCCTTCCATTAGGACCGCAACCCAATCAATCTCATAGGGGTAGGCATAGACCCTTCTATGTCTATGTGATTTAAAATGATCAAACAATATAAATTTCTCTCTTCCGTCGTATCTCAATCGATCCAAGAAATCAACAACGTCCCATTGATATTCCTGGTCCACGTGTATCTCACATCATCTAGGTATACTTTCATGCATTGCATGATCTTAATATAATCATCTCAAAGCTTCATCAAAAAAAAAAAAATATAATCATCTCAAAGATATAATAATTCATTCTCTTCAATCAATATTGACGTAACTATCAAGTACTCAATTTATCAATACGTTATTCACTCATCATAATCTTTTATCACATCAACATCTAATCCACATCATTAGTAATACAAATCAATCACGATAATATCTCATCCACATCATCATTAATTAAAACATTCATCATGTCAACCGTGTCATAAAACATCTCAATAATATTCATATTTATCAATCACATATATAATAACCGATATTCTAATCACCTCATACTCATACACATTAATCGTATCACTATCAATCGATATCCCTATCATCATCATCATAATCAAACATATCAATCATCAATCAATATTTCATTCATCATCAAATCATTTTACCATAGAACCATATAATTTAAAATACTTCAGTTTATCCATATCGTCCATTAACTAATTTCATTAACATATCAATTAAACATATTATTATCAAAATCTCGTCTTCATGAATTTCTATTAATAACTTGAAACCATTCAAAGGACTCTACCCAATATATATATTCTC